TGCCCTAAAATAAAAAAATTGACAAGTTGTTTCCATATCCAATTTCATTTGGGAAAGGATAATTCCAGCTCTTTCTTATTCCAGTCAGGGAGATTTCTAAAAATATGAAAATCAAATCTGAACACTTTGTTGATCAATTCATATCAGTGTTGGAAATTCAACAGTCTTGTGATCTGTATAAAAAAAATTTGTGCGCATATGATCAAATTCATAAAGTTACAAATCATGGAAAAAAATAGTTCTATGAATTATCTTCATATTTTTTTCACATGCTTTCTCAAAATCAAAGTCTTCAATTTCGGGCCCATTTAATAAAATCATTAAATGATTATTTAATGTATCAAGATTCATTTTGTTCCTTAATCAACTTTGTTTGGGAAAATATTCTTTCTGCATTAGCATTTGAAAGAGGTGTAATAAGAGATATTTCGATATGTTTGAGTAATTAAAAGTCTTTGTCTGTGTCAAAAACATATTTTTATTTATTATAATTTGCACATAAAATGATCCACATTTTTAATGTAATATGCTGCGGCCGCTGATTCATATATGTTGCAAATGAGTTAACGTGATACTTGTGCTAATGAAAAAAAATTTTTAAAAACAAATTCCAATTATAATAATTGAAAATAAATTCTTTTGAATATATATTTTAAGGATCCACACAACTTTATACACTAGTTTTTTTTCTTACATATAGGAGAACTATTGGCCTAAAAACCCATTTATTTATTTTTTACTTGATTCTATAATTACAAGTTAGTAATGGTAAACACTAGACCACTAGCCAATACTCTACCATGTTTGCATTTAAGATCTTGCAAATAAATATCCAAAAAAATGATGGAATCTCACCACTAAGTATTTATTCATACTTTTACTTGGAAAGGAAGAAAAGTAGGCCGGAAGAAGAGTTGAAGGAGTTGAAGGTGAAGGGGAAGGTTTGGAGGGGAGAGGTTGGTGAATGGAGCAGGAAGTTGCATGAAGTTGATGAAAAAGGTAATGAACAAATTGCGTAAAAAATTATGGTTCTAATTAATATCAAAAAGCAATTGATTTTTTAGAAAAAGGTTGTGATTGTGGTTGTTCTTCAAGAATTCCTAAGGAAAAATTTGCAGAATTAAGGGAATCCTTTCAAGCTTTTTCTAAAACAGTGCAAGACATATTTTTAATGGCCCAACTTAAAACAATGGATCAAGTACTAGTAGACACCTTAAAAGAAAACTAGATCTAATAAAACAACTTTCTATCACTGGGATCACAATACACTTCTTTGTCAAGAAACTTACCTCAATATGCTGGGAATTGGTAGGACTTATTTTGAAAACATTAGAAATCATATGATAAAAAATGGTCTTCTACCAAGAATTTATGGTAATATTAAAAGAATGGAAAACTAAGATGGTAATTGATAAAAATGTTGTTGAAGTAGTAAAGAATTTTCTGGAAAATTATGTAAAAGTTCATGGATTATCAAGCCCAGGAAGAAATGTCAATAAAATAAAATAACTCAATCAATTACATTCTTGCCAGCTGAAACGAGTTATAAATCAGTCCACAGAAATTTTCTGGTTGGTCTGGAAGAAGATAGCAAATTGAAATCCTTAAAATATGATGCCTTCAGAAAATTATGACACCAGAGATTCAAATTATGAGTCCAAAGACTGATTTGTGTGTCATTTGTTAACATTTTAGAGATGGTTTATGTTGTAATGCTCACCAAGAAGAAGAAGCCAAAGAATTACTTAAAAATTTAAAGAAAATCTGTCCAAGGCTAAATTAGAAAGGAATTATTATAATAAAAATACTAAATTAGCAAAAGAACAAAGAAAATTGATTAATCAAAATTATTCCCAAGGCAAAACACAATATTTCAGTATTGAAGCTGCTGCTCATTATAGTTATGATTGAGCCCAAAATGTCCATTTGCCACATTCAGATCAACAGGTAAGTAAAATTTATTACTTTTGTCCATGTAAATTTCATTTATTTGGTATTCAAGATGAAGCAGTAAGGGAACAAATTAATGATGTTCTTAATGAAGATGAAATTATAGGAAAAGGACCCAATGGAACTCTTAGCATGATTTTTGATGGAATTAAGAAATTGAACAAGGGTGAAAAGTATACTTGCCACCCAAACTCAAAAGGCCAAGTCCCAACCCCAAATCCCAATGTTAAAAGTGGTACAAATCCCAAAATGGCAATAGTACTATATACAGATCAAAACAATAGATATATTCTTTTATTCTCTGCATAAAACACATTGTTAGCAAAAAATTTATTGTAAATTTTTTATAAAAAACCATAAAAATGCAAAGGTCCAAAAAAAATTAGCCAATCAAATAATCTAACTTTCTACTCTATTTAATATTTCATCAATATCAAAATCAATATCACCATGTTCAACAACAAATTCATCAGTTTATTAATAATTCATGATTTTAGTCAATGAGATTTTCTATGTATGAATGCAAAGTATTTCCCTCACTTATGTCCAAACATTCATCACTATCATCAGGATCATCAACTAAATTATCACCATTATCATCATTTTGAAACATTTCATCATTATTAATTATAGCATTTGCTATTTCATCAAATGTATTTGATAATTGTTCTTGTGTAACTTCTGTTTTAACAAATTCCAATTCACTTCATGCATTAGTAATTAAAAAAGAGTGTATTTTCATCATGCTTTCCAAATGTGCTACATTGATTCTAATATAAGATATAATAGATAAGTATATATAAAGAAAAATTAAGAATAATTACATAATTAAATTATAAATGTATACTTACTTGGTTCTGTATTTCCCTGTGTACTGACCAAATTTGAATAAATAAATTAATAAATATAATATATTCCAATGAATCAAGTTAGTGATAATATATATAACAAATACTTTGCTGGTTTGGAATTTGATGAATTTGACATAATCCTTAGTGATTATAATATTTGTAATAAAATTACATTAGGTGTAATTCAACAAATAATAAATGTCAAATGAAAAAAATCTTTGCCAAACTTCAATTTAAATATAAATTTATCATTAATGCAGTAAATAAATGAACTATTATTATTAATTATAAATGTAATTCAACACAAGAAGAGAAATTAAACACAAAAGAAAGCTTGCTTACAAGCATTAAAATTTTTCCTTTATTATTATGGCAAAAAAAAATTTTTATTATTATTGCACAACTGATCAAATTTAGAACACATGACTTTTATTTGGGGATTTGGACATTTTGGGATTTGGGACTATTTGGGATTTGGGACTTTGGGACTTTGGGCGGCAAGTATAGTGAAAAGCATTTAAAGATTACTTGTGACAGAATAAAAATAATACTACTATTTGGTTTTATTTATATTTAGTAATTTGTGGTTATTATGAAAGTATTGACATACCAAATTTAAATGTGATGGTAATTTTGGTATGATTAAAAAACTCTATGGAAGTTCAAGAGTAGATTGTCTAGGTGAAAAATTCTAGTCCAGCTGGATTGAATAAAGTTCGATGTTATGAGAGTGGAAAAGGTTTCGATACTTAGATATTAAAGCTATGTACAGTCAAAGCTCGTTATAGTGGACCCTTGGTTCCATATGTAATTTTTCTCCTTTTTTCCACTATAACGAAATTTTATTATGTTTTCCACTATATTGAGCGAAATTAATTAGCATTGGAAACAAAAAAGATCCACTATAATGAGATTTTATTATGTGTCCACTATAACGAGATCCACTATAACGAGCTTTGACTGTATTTTTCCGCAAAAAACATTCGCAAATTTGCGCAGCATCATGAAAATATCCAATTTTATTGGTGGGTTGGGTGCGTGTTATCCTTATTTAGAAATCGATTTGCGGATCAAATCACAAACTTCTTTTTTTTCTTTTTTTTAAAGATTTCAAAGATGCCCAAAGAAAATAAAAAAAGAAAAAGAGGAGATAACAAGGGAGAAGCAGTTGTTGGGTAAGTGCTTATTAAAAGAGTGGTGGTGGTGGTTATTGCCACTTGTTGTCACTCTAGTTAATTATTAAAGAATGGCAGTTATTGCCCACTTGTTAATCATGTTTTAAATGTTTATCAAAAGAAATGGTGGTGGTGGTTATTGCCATTTGTCATCACTCTAGTTAAATTAAATATCAGCAAAGAATTCGATGTGAATATTAATAATATAAATGAAATAATTACAAAAAATAATGAAATTAAAGAAACTTTAATCAATAATATTAAAGCTTTGATTAATAAAATTAATGATGTAAGTTTTTAATTAAGGTTTTTGTTTATTTGTACTTTTTTTTTCAACTTATTCAACTTTACATTTTTTAAAATTTATAGGATTATGATAATGATACAGTAAGTATTTAACAAACTTATCTGCTTGTTTTCATCTGAAAAATATTTTCATGCTAGTTTTTTTTTCTGTAAAGTCTGATACTAGGAAAGCACAAGCAAGCATTAGGTGATATAACAAATCATGAAACGATTATTCTGAAAGGAAAAAAGCAGAATAGATCTATGGGTATCAACACACCCACTTTGTCAAAAAAGAAGAAAGTGGTTAATAGTGTGACTACTTTGGCTAACATACAGTTGGAATATGAATCTCAAGAAGTGGAATACAGTCAAAGCTCGTTATAGTGGATCTCATTATAGTGGACACATAATAAAATCTCATTATAGTGGATCTTTTTTGTTTCCAATGCTAATTAATTTCGCTCAATATAGTGGAAAACATAATAAAATTTCGTTATAGTGGAAAAAAGGAGAAAAATTACATATGGAACCAAGGGTCCACTATAATGAGCTTTGACTGTAAACTCATTACAAAACTCTTAAGGAAAATTGCATGATAACAACTAATTCTAAAACAATAATGTCTGTTCAAGATAAAGAAGAACATTTATCATGTAAGTGAGATACAGTATGTATATATATATATAATTTTTTTTTGTAATATTTACACATGGTTTATCTTCTAGTTATTAGTCAAGAAGAGGCTTTATCATTTATTCCACCAACCATTGAATTTTCTTCATTTGCTTCAACATCAAAAAGTACTACTTCAGTAACCAATAAAGCACCAAAAAAAGTGCTACCCTGGAAAGAATTTTTTGAAGAAGTAAATACAGTCAAAGCTTGTTATAGTGGAAATTTGGTTTCAGGCATTTTTGTCCACTAACGAATTTCCACTATAGCATATATACGTAGTAAAATAAATAAATAAAACTGTCTAGTGTAAGTTATTTTGCATTATCCTGAATATGTTTATGAATTTTTGATTTTAAACCATTAATCATTTTTAATTCTTGATAGCTAAATTATTGTTTGTAAAATTGATCTGCATTTCTCCCAATAAAAATCCTTACATATGTGTAACACCACAGATACAAACAGATTGGCAAATACAATTTCATTGTTAAAGAAAATATATGCAAAGTTAATCAATTTAATGTTGACATAGATAAAACTTACACCATTCCACCAGATAAGGAACTCAAATTTTAGAGACGGGCTCTGGAGGGAGCATATTTACTACATTCAACACCTAATTAAACATATATGTTGTAGATTTATTATTGATTGACTAAGGATCAGTGTATTTAACACTATAATAATATAAAGGCATAAAAAAATTTCTAATTTCGAAATAAAAATTTTTTAAATATTTATATAAGCATAAAAAATTAACATTAATATGAAAATTTTTTAAATTGATATCAAAACGGTTTTTGCTCCTTGACTTTATTAAAATGGGTTTTTTGGGAAGTACAAGAGAAAAATCAAAAGGTAAACATTGTAGTGAACAATTTTTCTCGTGTTGACGATTCTTCAAATGATTAACATTCAATTTTAAAAAACATTAAAAATTTCCCTTGTACTATGGATGATAAAATCTAACCCAACTAATTGATTGAAATCTTGATCATTTTTTTAATCATCAATTGTTTTTTTATTTTTGTAAACATAATTTTTTAATTGTCAATTGTTTTTGCTAAAAAAATAAAATATGTGTACTCTTCCAAATAAACAATGTAATGCTTACAATTAAAAAAGTTATTATTATAGTTGTGCATGCGAAGCATACAATGAATGATTACAATTTTTTTGTTGTAAAAAAAATTTATTTTAATGTTGGTGTATCAGTCAGTACACGGTGCAACAAAGTTGCTAGAAATCAAAATCACCAAAAAGAATTAAATAAAATGTTTTGTCAGAAAGTTTGGCCAATCTTATTGCTTCCCTGTGACCTAGCCATTTTCATCCTCACAATGTTAATATCAATATGTATTTTTTTGTATTTAAAGAACATCATTTTTAGGATAATAAAATAAATAAAATAACAATTTGTATTTTTACAATAATTAAAGTGCCTGTCTGTAGAAAACATGTTTGATTTTAAGTGATTCTTGCACACATGCATTCTATTTTGCTTAAAAGTTTTGCAAAATCACAATTAAAAATGTTTTTTTTTTACAAAGTCAAGATATTGTTTATGGTTTAACAAAAATTGAAAAATTTTAAATTTTATATTAGTGCTAAGGCTCCGAACGAATCAATGAAATTCGAACCAATTCAAACCAATTCGAATTTGAATCAAATCGAATCACTTAATTTTTGACTCGAATCAGTTTAAATCAAATTGAATTGTACTTTGATTTGATTTGATTCGAACAGATTTGAATATATAATTTGATACAATTCGAACTGATTCGAATATATAATTTGATTTGAACTGATTTGATTTGATTCAAACTG